TGTATCCGTGTTGTACAATGCCCACTGAGGTCGGAGAGGGTGGCAGATCCCCTGGAACTGGAGTTACAGACAGTTGTTAGCTGCCATGTGGATGCGGGAAATCAAACCCAGGTCTTCTGCAAGAGCAGCCATGCTCTTAACCACTGAGCCATCTCTCTAGCCCAAAATCCACCTTTCTCAAATGTGTAGTCAGATGAGTTTGTACCTATTTGTGCAGTCACATAACCACCTTTGCAGTCAACAGATAGAGCTTTGCTACACCTTAGAAGAGTTTCCTTGGGGCTAGAGAGATGGCTCAGGGGTTAAGAGCACTGGCTATTCTTGTATGATTCCCAGCACCCACATGGCAGCTAACAACTATCCATAACTAGGGGAACCAACACCCTCTTCTAACCTCTATAGGCATTGCAGGACATGGGTGCACTTACATGCAAGCAGTATACATATAATAAAAATAATAAAATGTTTTTTAAAAAGTTTCCTCTTGCAGCCTTTGTACTTAGCTTGATTTTATGCTAATAAACTCTTAACTGGGAATAGTTGGTACCATCATGTTTGAAAAGGAGATTACCAGATTACCCAAAGGAATAGGAATACAAATATGGTATACAAATATGGTAAGAAAGGCCCAGAAGTACTGGATTGGATTGCAGGCATTATCATCCCTCTCTCTAATCATTTCTGTTTACTGTGCATAGGGCCCAGGAAGAATGACCTCTCAGCAGTAGTGAGCCCACGTAGTATCTAGATCTTGGTTCCTAATTACCATTCTCCAGTATAATGAACCAGGGTTCCCTGAGCAAGTGGTTGACTTCAGGATGCGACTGAGTGGACAAGCTGAACCCAGAGCTTCTTGTGCCAGAGAGCTAAGAACTTGCTCCAGGAATGTTAGAGGGTGGGGAGGACCCTACAAAAGGACCTGGAAGCAACTTAAACTAGCTGCTTTGAAAAGGTTTGAGCAGTTTAATTATTAAGAACCTCCATGGTAGTAAATTACAAAACTTTGAATAAAAAACTAATCCATGTATGTGCAGTGATGTTCAGGAAAGAGAAAGAGATGGAGATAAACTTAGACAAATAAGAAAACTCTTACAAAAGGATGTCAATTAATAAATATAGATGGAAATCCAGGCTTGTTGGTGGATGCTTATAACCCTAGCATTCATGAGCCTTCATAGCAAGATGCTATCTTAAATTAGTGAATGAATATAATTACCAAAAAATTATAGTATTTAAATCCCGTGCTAGAATATTCATACAGTCTAAGTGTCACCTAAGTACTCAGCCCCTTACCAAAAACACTTTAGCCTATCCCTAAACACAATGTGTGGTAGGAACGTGGATTGGACTGGGTGTGGGAAGATCTGTAAATACTTTTGAAACAATTAGAGAAGCTTAATTATGCTTGAATATTAGATTATATAATTAAATTATTACTTTTCTTGGGCGTGATAAAGGGAAGAGGGTAATGTAGCAGAATGTTCTTATGCATTTTGGTGTTGCTGAAGTGTTTGGGTAAAGTATTTTAGGCATGCATTCTACTTCCCACCAGTTCAGCTGATCGATTGATAGAGTGATAGAGTGAATGATAGGTAAGTCTAATAACTAATTTATTTTGTAAATTAATAAATTTACAAAAGAGTTTCTTTGCCACATTGTTCTGTTTTGCATGCCTTTGAAGGCACTCAGGACATACTCCTGGTGGTTGGTTGACTCGATGAAATTTAGCTCCTTACAGCCAAACCTGTTTGTGTCTCTTGGGGATTATCATCTTTTAATTATTATGCAGCCCAGACTTAAGTGAGTGTTCAGTTGGGAATGAAAGGTTTTGTACCGGGTTTGGTTGCTGTGTAGTATGTAAAGGAAGCATGGACTACTGTCTCTGGTGGTGAATTCTCCCCTTGTTTTATTCACTTACATCAAACAGTTTAGCCCAGGAAATTGCATTTTGCACCATCATGGTGCTTCCTTAGGATCAGGGGGCCTTTTGAACTTTTAAAGAGGGATGAGACTTTCTCTCTTTCCCTGCTTAGGGACTGTAAACATCCTCAAGTTCACATACATTTTTTTCCTAAGGAGCTATCAGGACCTGGTCCTGGCTGACAAGTTAACTGAGCTGACAGACAGCAAAGGATGTGGACGTCAGTGGGGCAAAGACTACAACTAGAGCTGTGCCACAGCCTGTTGGAGCATCCTCTGTAGCTTGCTTCAACCTTCAAAACTGAGGATAGCTTCCAGGTTACGTTTGTCACAGTTCTCCCAAAGTTTTCAGAGCTGAAGGCCTTGAGTAGTCACCTTCCTGCTTACAGGAAGAACATAGGTCATTTGTCATGCATCACCTTTAACGTCCACTCTTCTGAGGTTAAGTGTCTGGTTCTTGGGGTGGTGGTAAGGGGGTTGTTTCTGGGTCCATCCTATGGCTCTCATTTTGCGACTCTCTTTTCTTTGCCTGAAATCCTTGTAGTTCCTTAGCATGTGACAAAGTACTTCTGCCTTTAAGGCACGCTTAAGCAATACATCTTTAAGTTTTTAAAAATTATGTCTGTCTGTCTGTCTGTCAATGTGTCTGTGTGGTTTTATGCATGTGAGTTCAGGTGCTCTCAGAAGTCAGAGGCAAGAGATTGGAGCAAGAGATTGTGAGCTTCCTTATATGGGTGCTGGGAAATGAACTCAGATTTTCTGCAAGAGCAGTTTGTGTTCTTAACTGCTGAGCCATTTCTCCAGCTCAAGTGACAGGTCTTACATCTCACAGTGTCCACTATGCTGATCTTCGTAGGTGATCACGATTGATGTCTCCTTCATAAAGCAGAAGCCACTCAAGACTAGGCAGTTTTTCCATTGTATCTGCTTTTAGTTGTGCTTTTGTCAAGAAATGTTTATTAAGTGACAGACTGATTAATCCCTTCCTCTAGCATGAGGCAGGAGAGGGGAGAGTTTCCAGGCACAGCCTCGTTTAGAAGTGACGGTTCAGAATGCAGATTTGGTGCCACCATGAAGAGCTGAAAGCAGGACACAGAAAAGTCTTGATCAGCTTCACGCTGTCCGTGTGTCTGGTCTGATCTTTTCCTTGGGAAATAGCTCTACTCACTGATCCAGGGAAGCTCCAGTTTGTTCGCATGTTCTCATAGCTTTTCTTGAGAACATTTCAGTCATTTCATTTGTGGCCCACAGTCAGAAAGTCCACACTGACCACTGGTTATTACCAGCCTGTATGGGCATGTGCCTGATTGAATGGTAAACTTGGATGGCCAGTCAGCATGGGCAGCACTTACAGCTTATCTCAGAAACGTAGGGGCTCAGAGTAAGTGAGGTTCTTTGCAGCAGTTCCCTTAAGACCTTTTATTTCAGTTAAGCCGTAAAAGGCCTACTCTGAAAGGTGTAAAGTGTCAAGGTCAGGTTCAGATTCAGATCAGGCTGGCTCTGATTTTTGTCACTTCCCAGGAATCACCAGCATAGTATAATCGTCATGTTCCTGAGAACAAGCTCTAAGTGTGATTCGGTATTCATGTTATGCTGCCCTAGGACACCTTGCTTGAACTCTGAAATTGTGGTAAAGTAGGTGTTATTTGGCTGTGCAAGATGACATCCACTCCTAATGGCACACTGACATCCTTTCACCCTTACAGTTTATTCCTAATGTTTGTGTGTGCTTGAGGCATTTTTGTAAGTCAAGTGTTGTTTTCCCTTCAGTATACATTCCCACTTTAGGTGGCCTTCACTTCCACCTTAAGTGGCACTGTGCTCCAGGTCCCTCCATCAGGTGATTTTTAACCAGGTGATCAATGAAGGGTGTGCCCTTGTGATTGGCTGTCAGCTAGGCCTCGGGTTTGTACCTTGTGGCTCATCTCTGTGTTTTAAAGCCCACATCCTTCCTGCTCTCAGTTAACATCATTGTGTGGTTAGAATGGCCAGGAGAACATTTTTTTTGGACAAAACAACCTTGTCTCTGTTTGGGCTTAGAATGGAACCCACAGGGCTCTGGTTTTGCAAAGCAGCTCCCTGTTCAGAGCCACTCCCATTTTTCACTCCAGTTTGGGTTTCTCTAGTGTAGAACTTGCTGTCAGGAGGATACTCAGTTCCTGTCGTATTAGCCAGGCCACTGGCAGGGCTGGCTAGGGCATTTAAGGACTTGGGTATCAGGCAGTTCCCAGTTTTGCAAACAGCAAAAGCCAGTTCTATATCTTACCCTCAAATAATGTGAAAAACAGTGATGAAGTTTTCACGCTAACCTTTGAAGCCACCCTAGTACAACTTAGCTGAGATAAAAACAGGAAAATCTTTGCAATTTAAGTAGTTGAATTATTAGGTCAGGATGAATTACATGACACAAAGTTGAATATTTGAGGATCTTTGCATTAAAATCGAGGATGTGGGTAGGAAATTTAATGGGGAGTTTACCAAGTTACTGAACCCTTTAAAAAATGTTAGGATACTTTAAAGTATTTCATATGATTATGCAGAATATTTATTATATGTGCTCATATTGTAACTTAAAATTTTCTGGATATACCTAGATCATTACTGATTTTATGAATAAAATCATTATGATTTTATTACTTTTGTGACTAGTGTAGATTTTAGCTCACAAAATGGAATAATAAGAATTTGACAAGGAGTGGGATGGCAGATGTATGCCAACATTTTTCTGGGAGCCCACAAACTCAGCAAGAAAGAGGGAAGTCCAGGTCTCCAATGGCCCATCCCCCAGGGAAAGGAAGTCACTGCAGGCAGGGATTGGTGCTGGGATATTTGCATTGACCATATGGGATCCCCCAGGGGACCTGGAAGTGCCTGGGGCCAGAGCTGCAGGAGGGAAGGATTGGAGAAGTCAGTGACTGCAGCTGTGACATAGCCCTTTAAGGACCGGGCTCTTTCTTCCAGGTGTACCTGCATTTACTCATGTGCTGTGTGTCTATGGAAAAGACTATTACGCTGTCAATAGTGAACTACCTGGGTAGTTCCCGACGCCGTGATCATGGTTTTGGTCTCGTTTCTTTTAGGTTACCCCTGTTTCAGGCCAGTGCTTTTGCATTTTTGGCCCCTGCTCGAGCCATCCTGTCTTTAGATAAATGGAAATGTAACACCACAGGTAATTGCAGTTATTTCCACATATGTCATTGGGGTCCTTTAACACAGGTGAAGAAAGGGAGGCCTGGACACCCTGCACTCAGTATTCCCTCCTGGAGTTAGACACAGAGCACACTGGCTCATAAGCAGTTTAGAACGCTCCAATCTGTGGATCGTACCTGTCTCTGTCTTTCTATCCACTCATTCATCCCTAGCCCCAGGGGTAAGAAAGGACCAGAAATGACTTCATTTCTATATGGTAATAAAATGGATAAATATGGGGATGGAATGGAAAAATTCTTCTGCTGTTTTCCTGCCTCTCTCTCTCAGTGGATTTTATGACCCACCGTAATCACTCTCTTGCTGCGTCAGCATTCCTTCTCTGAAACATCTTTGCTGCTTTTTAAGGATCTGGCTACTGTGGTTTTCTGCAAATGACTTTCATTCCCCTCCTCAGTGATTCAAAAGATCCTTGAGGACCCTGATCTGGTCATTAATAGATAGGGTATTTTGAGAAAATCAAAATAGTTACATTTTGAGGTTCTAGGAGCCAAGCTCTCCAGCCTTCTTGCTTTCCCTGCTCCTAGGAGTTACTTTGTGACCATTAATTTTGATTTAGGAAATGGAAAAGGCCCTGCTTTATCAAGGTTTTTACAACCCCAGCCCAGCAACCTTGCTCTTGGTTATTTCAGGGAGCTGCTTGCCAAGATGGGTTTTCTGTATGAAAATGGTACTAGCCGTGGGTAGCGCCACTTTCAGTCAGCGTTGACACCAGGGAACTCTGTTAGATTGCATTCGGTTAGTGTCGGGAGTCCACCTCAAAGTGTGGATAAGCCCTGCTGTTGCAGGTTGGATTTTAGGGATGGATAATATAATCACACATATATACTTAAAATAGGGAAGAAATGATTTAAGGTTATAATGAATATGTGCTGTGAAACATTAGTGTCACTCCAAGAAAACCTTTTTCTTTTTTGTTTTCAAGATCTTTCAGTTGGCAATGCAACGGCAGAACTGCTGCACACAGAGCACATCTGGTATCCCCGGATCCGAGAGGTAAAGGATGAGCACTGGCCGCCATGGCTTCTTTGTGCCACTTCTCTGCTTCCGAGCTGGTTGTGCCCAAGAAATCACAAATGCTTTTTATTAAGTCCTTTCACTGAAATGTTTATTTCCATTGTTCGGCTAAATGCTGTCAGTGGCTTTGTGCCACTCCTTTGATAGTGCTGCTCCTTTGCTGCAGACCCACCTGCCTGCTCCTATGCTCCAGTGTCGTAGCTGAGGCATATGGTTCACTCGGAACTGTGAGGCTTGTTGAGTGGCAGCAGAAGTGGTCTGATAGCCTGGTGTTTGCCTGTTAGTTTGCTAGCTTTCTTGTTGCGATGACAGTGCCTTAAATAACATAAATGGAAGAGAGATCTATTTAGGTCACAGTTTTATCTCTCATGGTGGGGAGGGCATGTTGGAATAGAACTGTTCAACTCATAGCAACTAGGAAACAAAGTAAAGGAAGCCAGGGAGGGGCCAGAGCAAGATACAGGCCCCAAGGACCTTTCCCAGTGTCTACTTCCTCCAACAAGGCAACACCTCTAAGTCATGAGCCATCAAGAGGTAATTCATGGCCGGGTGTGGTGGTGCACGCCTTTAGTCCCAGCACTAAAGGCAGAGGCAGGCGGATCTCTGTGAGTTCAAGGCCAGCCTGGTCTACATAGTGAGTTCCGGGACAGCTGGGGATACAGGGAGATCCTGTCTCAAAAAGACCAAAAAAAAAAAAAAAAAAAGAGGTAATTCATCGACTAGATCGACCTAATCATCTTTGGACATACCCAGAGGCTTGCTTTACTAACCTAGGCATCTCAATGCAGTCAAGTTGACAGTCAAACCTGTTGAAAGTACAGTACATTTGAACACACCTGTTCACGGCAGACCCTCGACAGGCACACACAAACTAGCTGATGAGTACATGTGTATTCACATTGTTCCTATGCAGTCTTTAGCCTTGGTACAGATGCCATTCTGCATGATGGAATTTTTGAGGGTATTGCTATCTCGTATACCCCCAGGGACTTGTCATTAAAGCCTACTGCAGGGAATGTCCTGTAAGGCTGATTTGGAAACGTGTTCATCTGAGAATTGTCTGTCTCACTTATCAGTGGACCCTTTCTGCAGTTATCTTGCGTCAGGGATATCATACTCAGATGCCTCCATAGAAGTTTTTTGTTGGACCCCAAAGAATTTCCCAGTTGTGGTGCCTGCTATGAGGTAGAACTTACTGCTTTGTGGAAGTGTTGGCAATGGTTGTAGGTAATGTCAGAGTGTTTGATAGCCACACAGTTCACTTTCATGACTCTGCCCTTCTTGTTTCAGATCCAGGGGGCTATCATCATGTCTTCATTGATAGAAGTGGTCATTGGCTTGCTCGGCCTGCCTGGGGCTCTGCTGAGGTACATCGGGCCCCTGACCATCACACCTACTGTGGCCCTCATTGGCCTCTCTGGTTTCCAGGCAGCAGGAGAGAGAGCAGGGAAGCACTGGGGCATCGCCATGCTGTGAGTGTTCTAAGTGCACCCTAGGGGGTAGGAGAGACCTTACCCCGGTTATAGAACCCCCATCACCTCGTGTGTGACAGACTTTTGGGACATTTGTAGCATTTACACAAACTTTAGAAAAAAACTGTTTTTAAAATAAGAATGTTCTGATAGCTTAAATTTATTTAATTCATGCTGGGACACTGGGGCATCGCCATGCTGTGAGTGTTCTAAGTGCACCCTAGGGGGTAGGAGAGACCTTACCCCGGTTATAGAACCCCCATCACCTCGTGTGTGACAGACTTTTGGGACATTTGTAGCATTTACACAAACTTTAGAAAAAAACTGTTTTTAAAATAAGAATGTTCTGATAGCTTAAATTTATTTAATTCATGCTGGGAACAAATGGTTTTCTTTTTTTTTTTTTATTCAGAGTTTGAGAAGTGATATATAGTAAGATGTCCCAGAGGCAGATAGTAATGATGGTTCTTTCTTTTTAAAATGTGTTTATTT